CTCCCCGGCTGGGAGTCAGCTGCTGCTCCCTGCTGCAGCCACTGGGGACTGCCCGAATCAAAGCTGTCTGACTCTTTTCCAAAGATTCAGAGAGCTTTAAATCAATTCGGACCTTTAAATTGGTCCCCCGATTCAATTCAGATTTGGCCACCGAATCAGGCCGAATCTCCTCCAAATTGAATCACTACCCGAAGCTTTGCACAGCCCTACTGGCTTGCCCTGAACTTAGGAACTTGATTGGAAATCCTTCGTATTATCAGTGGAAGTTGTAGCAGTGATCTGTGGACTGAACATGAAGGGGGTGCTGGCATAAAACAATAACCAAAGAACCCTTTCATTGGCTAAGTTACAGGTTGGTAAAACATTCAGCTTGCTAATGGCATGGTTTGGGGGGGGGGTTTCAATTAGATAACAGAGGATTCAGAAAGCAAAAGCTAGACATTTTAAACATTGCCAACTAGTTCAGCCAGCCTCTCTTTACTGTTTGGTCTCCGGGGCAGGAGCAGAGATAAATTGATCTTCTTGAAAGATTCATCTATGAGTAGGTATGAGGTTTCATTATATGAATATCATCAGCATAAGTGAGTGGATTTAATTCATTTAGCAGGTTTATTTACTAAGCAACTTGAGGCAGATTAGAACATCGCTGTGTTTTTACCATTTGGCACATATGATATTTATTCACTTAATAGCTTCATTAAGGAACATTCAGGGAGTGTATTAACTGAGTGAGTCTATAGATCAGCCTGCAGTAAATTTACAGATTTAGTTGGAGCATTTTGCTATTTTAGTCACAGACTTAACTGTCTCCAATAAGGTTTGCCATGTAGATTTAATAAGATAGTTACTTCACAAAAAAAAAGTTATTAAAAGCGTGTGTGAGGTTTAGTATCCATCTAAGAGTAGGGCTCAGTATTGCATAAGTTGATAAACCTCTGCAAATATTGAAGTTTGAGTTTTCACAGAGTGAAAATCCATCTGTCTAAGGCACGTATTTGTGCATGCGATTATCAATTATGCATGCAGTTTGATCATTTGCATTCTCCATTGCAGTATTTATGTGTGGTCATGGCTAAGTATTCTGTCTCCCACAGACAGCTAGTCCACCGAGAGGATAAAGGACTTGCCACTGTTGCTAACTACACCAGTCATTCCTTTAACCCAAATGGCAGAGTATTGTGCTTTGGCTGCCGAAGGCAAGGATTCTGTCAACCTTTGCCTGCATTTGTTACAGTTGTAAAAAGGTGCACAGCCTTCACATAAAGAAAGTCAAGGCCTAGAAATGCTCGTCACATGTTTCTTATAACTGTCTAGTAAATCTTCTACTGAGAAATTATTGTATTCTATAAAAGGGTTTTGTAAGACTAGATGGCCTGTAATTAACACAAATGAGGACACAAAGGCTGCGTGCCTCATTGTGGAACAAGGGAACGGTTTTGCTATTTAATTGGAGCCAGTTCCCACTTCTAATGAGTATTATCTTGGAATTTAGAAAGCAGCACCTTGCATGTAAGATCCAGTTTGGTATTACACAATGCCACCAGGAGCACAAAGCCCTGAGATATTACCGTCGTCTGCCCCTGGTGGAAACAGGTACTGCCTTTTGCCCTGTGCTCAGGCACAATACCTCCCGGCATAAACTATTACAGATCATAGTGTAGGAGGGAGAGCAGACAAAGATTGTCTTCACTGCTGAGCTAACTCAGTGCATTTATGCTATTCGTCCTGCT